TTTCATAAAATGCCAAGATCTCTGACTTATGAAATATTTATTCTTAGGATTGCCTCAGTCATTTTACGTCACTACAAATTGACATATTGTTAATGGTCTCCAACTTTTTTGTGGATGGTGTTCAGTGGTTGGTGTTCAGCATTCAGTGTTCGGCATCTGTAACAAGTAGCACGACGTGAGATTTTGCATGATGATGCCTTGTTTCTTTATTTTTTTATTTTTATTTTATATGGACAATGTTTTATTTTTAAGTGTAATTAACATATTTACTTTAGAATTATGTGAATGACGTACCTAGGCTTGAGAAGCAGTATTTGCCCCCCCCCCTTATTGCAAAATCTAAGAAAAATAAAATAAGGGATTTATACAGCTTCTGCCCGCATATGTCCCCAATCAAGCCAAGGGAGCAGAGACTAAAACTTTGGCTCATGAAATAAAGTACAAAATACAAACTCATGCAACTACAGATCTACTACAAATTATTGAAAGGGGTACCAAACATTACCCTGCGTGCAGAGTCTAGTTAAACTACGAAGCTCTCTTTTAAGAAGTGAAGTCCAACGAATGCAAAGGGTAACCAAACATCAGTTTTTGAGAAATAATCAATAAGGAAAGGAATTTACAACTAACAGTGTTCTATTTGTCTCACCTTTGATAACCTCTGACTTCTACCACTATGTTAAGCTGAGGCATTTGATAGCCTTTGCTTGACTAACTGTTTCCCTCAGTCCTGTAGCCAGCTTTTGCCAGGGGATCATCGATTTTTTGAAAAATTTTATTGGGGTCGCTTTTGTTAACTTTGGCTCAAAACTGGCCAAATTCACTTGAATTTAGTGCTCAATGGTGAAAGACTGCATCATTTTGATTTGCCAAGGGAGGGGGGGGGCTAAAATTCTGGAATAGTGAATTGAAATTATGACTTTGAAGGGCACCTTGTATTATATTGTGATATTATGCTGGCTGCTTAAAGACTATACAACTGGTTCTGCCAACCAGGTTAAAATTAAGTCTATGGGTACATCATCATACCTTTGTTAAGGTTGCCCTGATACCCATTATTGCTGCTTTCTGTCTTTCAACCTGCAACAGAACTTCACAAAACTATTTAAATGTTCCTACACCACCCGAAAAATCTACATTATTTCGGGTGGTGTAGGAACATTTAAATAGTTTTCCGAATTAGATAACCTACCCAATAAACCTCTTCAATGAAAAGTAAAGGATTACCATGACTTTTCTTGATACCCATGGTGATTTATCCAAATGTTGCCATTGAAAGATGTCAGGACTATATAAACAAATTAATATCTTTGACTGTAAGTGGGTGGGCAATCAATTCCCAAGTAATTTTTAAACTAGGATAATCTGACAGATCAGTATTTTTGCTTCTCTCTAATTGGTTACAAATAATTTATCTTTCGCAGATTTCAGATTAAATCTGATGTTTAAAATGCAACATATCATAAATTGGAACAGGTGGGCAGATGCATTCTGATTCATCACTTCTGTTTTAGCAGTGCTGATGAGAGGCAAGTCTATAGCCAGCTTTTGCCAAGAGAGTTTCACTTTTCTAATAAATCCAGTTCATATTTGACAACTTTGGCCCATAATCACATGAAAAGTCCTCAGAAGGATGAGAAACTGCATGATTTTGAAATAATTTTTGGCTGGGAAGGGGGTCGCTCAAACCTCCCAAATACCACTGGCCATGGGCTGGAGAGTGGCATCTATCTTGATAGTATTACCCTGATGACTAGGGTTTTGATGATATAATCTGAAAAGCTAGGTCAAAGTACTTTTATCCAAAGAGTGCAGATGAAGCTCTCTTTTAAAGAAACAAAAACAAACTATTGTAAAGGGTACTTACCTTTGTAAAAGTCAATATGCTGCTATTTTTGGGACAGGGGCTTGAAGCAAGACTATCATTATGGGATCGATGGATATTTTAAGATTTGTTATAATCAAGCCATTTCAGTGATCTAAATCAAATTATATTTGTTTGTTTGTTTGGAACACTTTCTGCATGGGTAGAAAGAATTGTTTGATCTTTTTGTTAAGCATGAGTTCAGTGTTTAACTTTTATGCAAGAGAATAAGAAAAAATTATACTTGCTTCTCATATATTTCTTGTTCATCCCATGTTCTGTTGAGTCATTATAAATAGATCCTTAACAACACTTGCTTCCATTATTCAATGCTGGAATCTTATAATCTGCTTTGTAATATATCAATCTGTTGTATGCGTTGTATCAATCACAGGTGGTGCCAAGAAAGCAGGTTGATCTGACATTGTAGTATGTGTATTTAGATTATCCTATATGGGGTTTGGGATATTGGGGTTATCCCAAGGCTATTATGTAAAATATATCTCCCCCGAGGGCTGGGACCTAAAGCGATATCCTGTCCACTGATGAAAATACATAGGGGTTATGTACTGGGAGGTTTTGGATATGGGGTTTATCCAGAGGGAGATATGCATATCTACTTGAGGGACCATAGGGACCGAAGGTAGATGTGCATATCTCACGAGGGATGGACCCGATATCCAAACCGACAGTACATAACTGCTTTATCCTATACCAAGTGGAGTTTTCAGTGAAATTACCGGAAGCGGGAAGATATGCACCGAAGCGGGGGATATGGAGGTTCTGGATATGGGAACCTCAGGATACGGGATATATCTTACAACATTATCTCCCTAAAACTCTACTTGGCATTGGATAAACTCTTTACAAACATACTTTATGTACCTCAGCATGAACAAGTATGGGATAATAGGGTTAATCCCTCAGGAAATATATATACAGTGTATATATATTTATCAAGGATAATAGGGTTAATCCCTCAGGAAATATATATACAGTGTATCTATTTTTCAAGGAACCATTTCATGTATACCTGTATAGATTAAATCCAAAGTTCATGTTCAAAGCACAAATAGCAATATGGCAAAAACAAAACAATAGTCCTCAACAAAATATTAAAACACCCATCCCATGAAATACCAAATACAAATAAAATCCCCAAAATATTAATCAACACGAATATGAAACAAAAAGTGATGCACTAGAGCGAGAATAATGATATCATCTTATGACCAAAAAGCACATTCATTGGAAAACTGTACGCAGGATTTTATATACAAATCACAAGGGGCAACATTAGAAAAATAAAACAACACATGCTTAGAAACCAGAAAATGATTATTCAACATATATATGTACCAGACAATAGAGAAAGCCATGAGAGTTCAAAATAAAGGTATCAAGCAACCGGAAATTCAGTCCAAACTCTACTCATGTAAATCTTATAAGCAAGGGTTTAATGACTAACTTTAAACCTGTTAGGTTGCATGTAATATTTAGACATCTAAGTATAGTTTTGCTAATAAATGAGACAAGGCTGAGAGTTATGGAAGGTGCTATCTTATCTAAGGATTGATTTGGAAGCACCTTGGAGATGTGTGTATCAATTAAGCCATGTTTAGTCTCACTTGATCAAGCGAAGGGACGGGAACTAATGTTATAGTCAAGGATTAGTCAGTGATTAGTCTGGGATTATTCGGGATCATTTTGTTATAGATCCATGAATCTGATATTTTGTTGATCATCACTCGCTGGATATGAAAATGCTTTGGACTATTATGTGCAGGAGTTAGAAATGTCAAGAATGATCAGCAAGAAATAGGGTGGATGTTATACTTGGTTTTGATAGTTTTTAGACATTCGTAGAGAAAATTTGATCTTAATTACATGTACTTTAAATGATTAAACATTATTTATTCTTGGTTATCTTTTGCAGAATGCCTGATATTTAATTAAAAATTCTTTTAGAATTATTTTCGAAAATCAGAAATTGAATGACAAAATTTATAATTTTAAAATGAAAGGAGAGTTAATGTTGGTGCTTTCTAAATTGATCCTGATAAAGTCTGATGGATCGTAACAGAGATTACTGCTCAAGGTGTGTGTCTATCAGCATTCCGCTTCGGGTCTTCACTCCAAGCAATCACCTTGATTAACCTGTAGTAGTGAGATATATCTTTCAGTGGCAGGTTGGGGTACTATAGCAAAAAGAGATAATTACCAAGATCCAAGGGTTACTTTATTGCAATTTTAGCACAATATATATTTGACTTCGGGTTTCTATTTTTGTTTTAATTTATTGAATGACAAATGGTATAAGATGAGCGTAATTAGAAGAGATTTCAATTTTTTTGTTAAATGCATAGTCCTGCTTCAAACCCTTGTGAATTAAGGTCCAAAGACTTAATGTAAGACTAACCTCAACTCAACCTTTATTTTGTTAGATTCCAACAAAAAAAGTATTTTTGTTTCATCATCTTCAAGTCAGGTTTAGGGATAAGCTTCATGTCTGTCGAAATCTTTTGAAATTTCTGCTAAGACTTTCTACAGGATATATGCTAAGCCTGAACTTTATGTTAAAGAAAAGCTGTCACTGATTGATGCTTTTGATATTTACCTGTGCGGCCTTACCCATGTGAAATATTTTGATGATCATGTTTTACAATGAGTAATAGAGTAAAATTGAGTTAAATCAGCATAGAATAAAGTAAACACGCCTGCAGTAAATACTCCTAGTTGCTTAGAAATGTTAGGAAATTGGGCATTTCATGCTAAAAAGGAAAAGCTGTGAAAAGAATTGATCACAGAGAATTTTTATGGAGGGTTTATTCAATCAGACATTCTGTAAACAAGTAATGTACTTTAATTAGAAACCAAATATTCAGATTTGTCAAGTTTGCTTATGAAAAACAAGAAGCCAGACAGTGCCAAACATAGACATGAAAGTAAAAATAAAAAGATGGATATTAATGATATATATCCTGGAGTAACATTTAATGTTATTGGTTTCTTTTAGGTAACGTTACAGGCATTAGATAGATAAAAGGACTATATCTGTCACTAAAAAACATCAGATGGATTGTATTTAGACAAGATGGATTTTAATCATAAATTCATTTACTTTTGAACTACCAGGTGTGAAGACACTGAATTTCATCATTTTTATTGGATGGTACTCGATATGACAGAATTCGAATTTGGCACTGTGTAACAACTTTTAAAGTTAAAGTTTTATGACTTGATGAAGTCTAGAACAGGATGGTACTCTTACAGGAAAATAGACATTTCACATATACACACTTTAGACAAAAACTCAAGAGGGAGTTACGGCGACGTCGAGCTTTGAGCTTAAATATTGAAAGGTAAAACTGATGCATGGTGAATAATAAAGTTGATATATAATACAACTTGACTAATTCAAATGCCACTTGCACTGTTCTACAACTAGTTACTTTGACAGAACATCATATGTAATAAAATGGATGAACTTCCTAGATACAAGTTTTTTGTTTTCTCGATTTAAACTTTGATTTTTAAATAAAGCTGCAATTCATGCATTTAGACCATCACCTTGAAATGTTGTTACATTGATATAAATCTTCAAGTAACATACATTAGTAATATAACAGACTTTCGTCAATGTAACAAAAGTAAGGGGCTAAATATATAAATTGCAACTTCATTTACAAATCAAATTCCAAACTAAGAGCATATTGTCTAACTTTGTGCGATATGATAATCCCCAACTTGACTTATAAGAAGGTTTAAATCGAGAAAACAAAAAACTCGTAACCAGGAAGTTCAACCATTTTGTTATATTGATGTTCCGTCAAAGTAACTATTTGTGGAACAGTGACTTGGGCCAGTCAAAAGTTAGTCTATGGGAGGTAACTTTGGAAGAAAAGGTATTCATATTGCGACTTGTAGAGCTGTGTTTGGATATATCATTTGAATTATATATCAAATATATTCAGAGTTGCTCAATGACTGATCTTAAAACATGGTTAACATAAACATAATTCTATTCACTCTAATCAAAATATAGTGTGACAAAATTATTTTAATTGAATCTCAATGAAACATATTATATTTCCAGGGGTTCCAGCGATGAAAAAGTTGATCTGAAAAATGAGCAGTATCGTAGTCGCGATGGTAGCAGAGGACGCCACAGTAGGCAAAGCTCTCGAGATAGAGACACATCCAATATGGTGGGTGGAAGCAGACACAGCTCACGTGATCGGGAAAATGGACATAAATCCAGCGATGGAAGTGGACCACATCTGGTACGTGCATCATCATCAGAACGATACAGTAGTTTACCTCGAGAGAAAACCCGTAGAGATCGCTCGAAAGATCGTGAGGCAGCCATGTTGGGACTAGAACGTCCACGTCCTGAGGTAATTTCTGCTGGTCGCAGTCTCATTAGAAGTCGCTCAAAAGAACGGGAACTTGGTCTACTTCTGAAAGATAATAACATCCTCACACGACAGTCAGGAGATGGGAACCATGGCAACGCAGATTGGCGGCGTCAAGCTGCACATTTAGACAATGAAAAAGTAAGTTGCCCATTGTACCTTGCACATTGTCAAAAAGCTGACAATTTAAGTTTGTTTGTGTTATAAAATTTTGAGTTAGTTTTTCTTGCTTAAATGATCTTTTTGTAATAGTCTTTCTTGTATTCAGGTTTGGCTTCTTGCAGTTTGGTTTGCATCAGTTTTGTATGACTGTGACATCTATTTATAAAGAAATTGTTTAAAATAGTTCATCAGTAACTTAAAGCAGATATATAAAAATATTTCTCCTTATGTAATATATTTTTTTGTGTTACCCTTTGCATTCATCTGACTATACTTCTTAAAAGAGAGCTTCATCTTCAGTCTTTCAGTTTACAATGAATGTACAATGAATCTGAGCTAACCAAGCAAATCAGAGTTTTAGAAATACGAATAACTTTCTCCTCTTACATTAATGCATAGTTAATGAGCACACATTTAGCATGTGTTCCTTCCAGCTCACTAATTGGTTGAGAAAGGGTCAGCACAATAAGTTTGAAATGATTTTTGACCCTGGCTGTCACGGGCACCAGTCATAGGGGCAGGGCTGCTAAACTGTAATATAGTCTAAACTAGGGAGAGGGTAGTTTTATAACTAGACTGCGTGCAGGGTGATTATGTGTCTGTTAGGAGTAAGAAGTTTAGGGTTTAATTGGCAGCATTCAACAGGCAATTTTCTCTTGCTGTTTTAACCAAATTCACCTGTTGTTTTGAGGAACAAATCGCAACTGTTTCTATGTTAGAATTATGTCATTTCCAGTAATTTAACTTGTTGTTTTTATTCGTATTGCCAGTAATACCAGAAATTCTAACGAAGCTCTGGAAGGGTTGACTATCTTCTCACTTCTTGGCATTGAACCAACCATGAGATGTAATCCAGTTCAGAAGTTGAATTTATGTTGCACCAAATTGAAACTATGTTTGTAGGCCTGTTCAGAATTTTGACAATTGTGCAAAAGGGATCAATCATTTTTGATTTCCAGAATGTGAATAGGTGAGATGATATTGTCATCAAGATTTGCTCATCCAGCTTCCAACATAATGTGTCAATTTCACCTGAATTAATTGACATGTATGGTTCTTGTCCAGTGCTTGTGTCACATGATCACATGACAAAACTTTAAGTCAAAATTCCTCTTACAGATATTTCTTCTAATAGTTCACAACTATTTTGCTCTTCAAAGTGCAATGTTTATAACTGTGCATCTTGTTACAACTACGGTTGGCAACCATGATTGTGAAAGAAAGGGGCTGAATGTGTTTTTCCTTCAGAGGGGTTGTTCTACATGAAACATGGAGATATGTTCATCTGGTTTCTCTTTAATTCACTCTACTAAACCAGTCCTAGAAATGCACAAGATACTCGTTTTGTCTAATTGTATTGTTAAGTATATTTTTGAAAGTACCTTATCACCATCTAACAGTCATCCGATAAACCATTAATAAGGAACAGGCAAATAAAACAAATAACATATTCATTACTAATAAGCCAAATGGGTTGCTCATAAACACCAAATGCAAGGTATAGTAGAGTGTAATTGTAGCTCATAATCGATAGAGTTAAAGCAACCAGGAAAACTGTGAACAGTCAAAATTAGTTTTTGTGATATATTATCTAACTTAGCAAGGTATTCTTTAAATGTTAACACGGATAATGTATCATACACCTGGTCTGCTTTCTATTCTTGTATGTAGCCTTTATACCTTTCAAACAATCCAGCATGAAATAGTGATATATAAAAATCTCCAAAAGCAAATAAAGCCCAAGCTTTCTTACATAGTTTGATATTAAATCTAAGAGGAATTTTTTACTTGATGATCTGACTTTTATTTGAATAAACCTTTTTCAGAAGTACTTTTTATAAGGTTTTTAAGGGTGGTGTTTGTTTAGGTTAAGATAGATTAGTCAAGGTATCTTTTTACAAAAGTTATCTTTGAATGTAAGACTCCATAACAAGTTGTAATATCATGAACACGAAACAAGTTCAAAGCTGTGAGATCTTACCTTTTCTGTATACTTCTTAGGAGTTGTGATGTTGCCAGAAAGGTATAGAAAATGCCGCAGTAAGAAGAAATGATGGAAAAGAATGGCATCAGTTTTAAACGCTTAACTTATACCATTTATAATGGGGTTGATCTTTTATTGTACATGTACTATAGAAATCATTGTTGATGGAGTCTGAGTGCAGAAGAAATGTGTTTTTCATACGATGAGCGGTTCCATCAGTAGATTCCAACCATCAACAATTTACATTGATCAGCAGTAGATTTCAACCATCAACAATTTACATTGATCAGCAGTAGATTTCAACCATCAACAATTTACATTGATCAGCAGTAGATTTCAACCATCAACAATTTACATTGATCAGCAGTAGATTTCAACCATCAACAATTTACATTGATCAGCAGTAGATTTCAACCATCAACAATTTACATTGATCAGCAGTAGATTTCAACCATCAACAATTTACATTGATCAGCAGTAGATTCTAATCATCAACAATTTACATTGATCAGCAGTAGATTCTAATCATCAACAATTTATATTGATCAGCAGTAGATTTCAACCATCAACAATTTACATTGAACAACCTTGAAGAACTGCTTCATCAGATAATATCTAAGATTTGGAACCTTTTGATATTTTATTTTGAAAATTGATATAGGATACAAATGATGATCATTCTTTAAAGTTCACTTTGACTATTTTTTGATAAAACACATGAATACTGATGCAACACTGGAATGTTGATAGAACATATTTTCAACATGGATCACAAGAAGTTCTCACAAGAGTAAAGCCTGAAGGGCAGAGTTGGAAAACATTAAAAAAATCAATACATCTTGCAATAAGCTCAGAATTCTAAAATTGAAAAAACTGTCTGGAAAGCAAGAATTTTTTATCGAAATCAATCACACAAATCAGAAATCAAATAACAAGTCTCTGATTTTGATTAGAATGAGCAGAAATACGATAAAAAGTAACAAAATTATTGAGGACTGGTATTTGTCATGAGAGAGTGCAATAAACATTTGTTGACTTTTAAACACACTGACTCAAAGTTATAATCGATGAAGTCAGAGGAAACTTCAGCGATATTTCTACAAATGCCAACAAGAAAGTGGTGAAAATCGAATAAACAGACAGGGGCAGATGTTTGGGAGATCGTTCATCTTTTTCTGGAAACATTTAAACATAGCCTTGAGAATCATCTCTATTGTAACCTTCATTTGTTATGCAGACTTTTTCACAATCTTCTAAGCTTAATCGTGCATAAAACGTGTGGATTACGGATAATTATCTTCAGAATCCTTGAATTCAAATTGTTTGGGGAGTTTTATGTAATACAAAGCTTGCATAACTAGCTGGAATGATTAGATGTAAAAACCAGGAAGTAAGAAGAATATTAGGTTCGAAATTGTATATGAGTTAAAAAATTAAAAATTATTTTAGAGTTAGACCAGCCGGATTAATGTGTCATATCTTTCCTCAGTTTAAACTGGATTATTACTCTGCGCTTTTCGATCTAAAAATGGCAGAATATAATCCGCTGCCAAAACCTCATGTTTCCAAAACAACCATGGTAAGTAGAGACTGGGTGGTTTGTAATATCAATAAACATTCATATTTACAGGAGGAACTATTCAGTTTCATATTTGGCACTTAAAATCACAATTTTAGAAAACTAATTATTCTGTCAAGTGAAATGTAAGGGGGACTTTTTAATGTGAAGTTCATGACCATTTATCAATGTGGTTTGTATCCATGGTTGTGGTTTATAGTATAAGAAACTGATTTAAAAGAAAATTTTGAATTATCCAACTATTGACTTGTTTTTGGCTTTAGCTTAAATACAGTAAAACCTGTCTAAGTGGAACACCTTTGGTACCTCTAGAAAGTGTTCCACTTGAGAGGTGTTCTACCTGTGGAGGTTCATTTAATATTAAGTCAGTTGGTCTTGTGACTCTGAAAAGTGTTCTACTAACATAGGTGTTCTACTTCTAGAAGTGTTTCACTGTGATGTTATATGAACCTCTTTCATATTTATATAATCATGCATTATATTGGAAGTTTATCTGACATGCTATTTTCCAAAATGGTGTTTTGTTTCTCGACCACATCATCGGGTGTATGATTGTCTCAAGAAGGAAAGACCATTCCAGTTTATCACTATGCTATTCTTTGATGGTGACTTTTAAAGAAGTAATATCAAAATATTTTAATATTTCAATATATTTATTATTCTATCTTTGTATATTTACAGGAGTTTCTAGAGAAGAGAATTGAAGAGCTCCATCGACAGCTCGCTGATGAACGTCAACATTCACGTCGTGAAAAACTGACAGTTGCACGTCTTCAACGAGAACTGGCAAGGCAGAAAAGTGATTCATCTTTACAAGGAGTGGTGAGTTACAATTAATAAAGTGTTTCTTTGTAAATTGATGTAGTTTACTTTAGAGGAGGGAAAACCCCATGATTCAATTGATGACATACGATTTCCTCTTTCGCGCGCCTCCTTTCCCAGAAGTACGTCTATTTATACTTCCCTCCATCTTGGTTTTCAAAGTTTTCAAATTGACCTAGTTTAAAACCAATCAACGATCGACTCGCTAAACCAATCAGCAACGATGTCATCTCAATACAGATTTACATTATAAGCGTATGTCAGCTTTGAACCCTGGGGTTTCTCCCCCTCTTAGTTTACCTAATATCCATTCTGATACTCATCACATATTTTTGTTTATAGACATTGAACCCCCTTATGTGCGTAATTTAACAACAGTTGTAAAGTAGATAGGGAGAGGGGGTCCAGGGTCATGTGGCAGGGCTAAAGGCAAATGTTTCTAGTGAGGTTACTAAAGATGTATGGAAGAGTAGACCCAGAGACAGTTGATGTTTTTGTTCTGTGTTTATATTCCTTGTCTTTATTGTGTAGAGTTGAATGAAATTTATAACTGTTTTATTTGATAGAGGGCAGAATGGTCTTTTATCTCAAATACTTTTCGCTACTTTTAGTATAGCTGATTCTCGTCGCTTAGTATAACACAATTCATATAAATGAAGTTAAATTAGCCAGTTTCTTTTTGGTATGCCAAATAATAGATTTTGTTTTTGCTATAGGAAGCAAGTTCTATTTAAAGATGGTTTGCCATATGCTTTTGCAGATCTGCTGTTTAGCTTAAAATACAATTTGTTTGAGTATAAATGGATAACCTCCAACAACAATTTCCGCAACAGATGAATGGTTTGTTCATGATTTGACGTAATTTTGCAATAATTGCGTTAATATTTCAAACATACTAAATTAAGATGATAAAATTACCCATCATTATTTATTGATTTTTCGTATAATCGTGCAAGTTTGAACGAGATTCTTAGTAATCATAGACCTCAGAGGTCGTTGTATTCCTAGAAATGCTTTGTGATTAATGTCATGGTGTTCAAATTTTAAATTGGAAAATAAAATTAAAAAGAGGTCAATCTGCATGAAATGAAATAAACAGCGTATAAACAGTACTCTAAATCATACAGAAATTCCAGAAAATTGGGTGATTTGTTCAAATTTAAGATAGAATGGAGTAAAATAAGTATGACGCAAAAGAAACTTTTGGTACAGGATGTCTTGAGATTATGTAAAGCTCCGGGTCCAGTTTCACCTTTGTTTTTGAGGAATGTTGTTTGTTACCGTAACATGATCACCCAGTAGATGTTCATTTGCATCATTAATAAAGGCAATTATGTTGTGGGTGGGATAATAATGTATTTGAGGCAATCAGAATTCGATCGAAAATAACCTATCGTGTTATGTGAGAAAACTTTTGACTGCTCTCCCATCTTGATTCACAAGGTTTCGATTCCTCCGACATAACCACATTGGACTTCATAACCACCTTGGAGGAAAATGCTTTTCTACATAGCAAGTCATCATTTCAAGAAAACATTGTGGTGTTTCAGGTGTTCAGTCTTGCACCAAGCCCATATACTTTATTCATTTCGTCTCAGAGGGAGTGGATGGGGATACATACAGGGCCTTGGTGCAGGACTAACACTTTAAATTCATCAATGAACAATAAAAATATAGACAATGACCACCTTAATCCTTGTGTTTGATAAAAAATTGAATACTGGCATTATATAAAAAGGCATCAAAGATGATATCTTGTGTAAGAGATCTATATTGCATCCTCTGTGGTTGAATTGATGAATATTTTCCGAACGAGAAATGAAACACGACTCTTGTAATATAGTATGAGAAATAATTATGTTATCCTGCCATAAGATACAATTTTAACATTCCAATTATTTCCCAGATAAGAAGTTGGTTTTTGCATGGCTTGTTTCGACAAAGATACCTGATTAACCCATCCATTAGGCTTATTACCAAGGAATCTAGATGCTGTTTTATAATTATAGCTGTAGGGTCTTAAAGGGGGAACAGAAGATCACTATAGTGTTCGATGTATGTACCTTGGAAAATATTGTACCATTTCAATATAGCCATTATAAAGGGCAGTCTGTGTCGGCTTTGGTTATTTCAACATTAAATAATTAAACATGAAATTATAAAAACATTTTCTCACAGTCTGCTTTGTGTTATTACAAAGTTTAATCTCATGTTGCAGTTCACCCATAAACCATTTCTTTGTATTATTTGCTTTGTTTTATTTGATTTTATTTCTGCCAGAATTTCATTTCTTGTTTCAATTGTGTTCCAAAATAACTTGAGATTAATTCGTTTTAGATCTGTTGTTTGCTAAAATTATGATTCAAGATAGGCTGAATGAAAGGCAATTATCGGATAAAGATATCGGGCATATGTATTTTAGACCGGCTATTATATCAACCAATTATCTCTTATTGAAAATGATGAGTCACAATGTTTCTCTTTTGTTCGCGGTTCTTTGTCTAAATCAGCGGAAACGTGCACTTATTGCAGATTAATTGCTTCAGTCGCCACATCTTTTTCTTGCCCTCTTTCGGGGTAGGGTCATAAATGTCTGGTTGTTTTTTGTTTTTCAAAAGCAAATGTCCTTGGGTGAATTAGAAATGTTTGGTGTCACTGGGGGTAATGAGATTTTTTATGAGACCATTCGAGGAATCAATTTTTTGCATATTTGCGTGTCACAGCCCCTCACAAGAGAATACATGCATGTCATCACCTCGTCATGACCAACCCCAAATTAAATGACAAACCCCACAGGGAGCGTAATATTTAAAATCTAATCACTGAAATTTGTTTTTAAAACAAACTTGATGGTTAAATACCAATTTGCCATTAAAATAAGCGATTTTTCTGGGATTTTTCATGAGGCACATCGATTAGAAAACCAAACAGCAATTAATGAAATTGTTTTTTTATTGCAAAAACTACTTGACCAGTGATTATGCTATTGGATATCGAATGAAATTAATTATTCTGTTTTTATAGTAAATTACTGCCATAGCTTGCCACTTTTCGGATACAACCCAAAACAAACAAGTTGTTACAGTTATGGTTCATTTCTTTGCGTGATGCAAAATAAAAAATACAGTATAAATTGCACATTGAAGATATGAAGATCAAAGAGCCTTTTCCTTGATTTAAAGTCCATCTTTACAATCAAAGCAGATTCTACAAGCTTTAAGAAGCCTACATCAAACAAATTAAAATCAATAAAACACAATATGGTGTTAATAAATGTTATTGTGATCTGGGAATATTAAATTGAGAAGCATCTTGGTTCATTGTAGAGTCTATATATTACATAGTGGTTATAATTCTATGTACTGTTGAGAAACTGATGAATCATTCATCAATTCATGATGAACTTGCTCGCAAAATAAGCAGAAATATACATTTCAGAAAATAGATTATGTTATTAATAGTAACAATTTAGTACGATTATATGTGTTTTAAATGATTGAGCATATTTTGTAAAAAATCTTGTAAGAAAAACCCATCCTGAAAATAATAATAACGGTGTCTCGAAATCACAATAAAAATTATTTATGTCATTGCTAAAATATTATTTGATACTTTTTGTATTATTACCTAATGAAATTGTTTGTACATGATCGAGACTGGTTTCTCATGTCATGTCATAATAATTTCATCCTTCGTCCTATATGTACACAATAGCTGATATTTTCCGCAAGGGATTTCTCATTGAGCTCTGAATGGATCAATAATATGATATATATCCAGTATTGCAGTCTGTCACAGTATCATAGAACCATGTGCTTCCATATATGGTGCTCCGGAGATTAATGCTCGACACAAAGAACTTGTGAACAACACATGTATGTCACATGTCTGATATTGCAATTAAAATTAAGAGCATTGTCTGGGATTGGAATATTTTTTGTTAATGAATTAAATGAAACCTGGCTAGACTGAGATAAAAAATGAAGAATGCACTCTGGATTTAAACGACCACTAAATTTTTTATTGTTTAATTCTTCTGCATCAAAGACATTGATTCTGAAAGGAAATATGTGAAGGATTATGGGTTATGATAGGATTAGTTGATTAAAATATGGTGCATTTCATACCATGATGAACACAAAGACTGGTTGAAATATTACCTCACAGAAATGATGGAATCTGATAATGGTTTACAGACATGTTATTGTAATATTAGGTTATCTATAATATAGATATAGATTCAAAAGAATATGCCATTGCTAAAGAAGGATCTTATGACAATTACAAGCTGACAATGCATCATTTGTGCTGATGTTGTGTGGCTATATATACCTGATCCAGTTGTTAGTACATGCCTTGTTACTGGTGCTTGGTCATTTTGCTGTCAGTTTGACCTCAGAGAATATCCCCATAGCTGACCATAACATTGAAGAGGCTATTTTAGAAGAAGGCTCGGATGTTATTGAGAGAGATCCCGACCCTGGAGATAACATTACATGCCCAGAACAGGAGGATGTATGTATAAAGCAAAGCTGTGCATTCCCAGAGAAAGTGGAGATATTACAAAGAGATGGTACAGATAAACAGAGAAATGATATGAGCATAGACAGTGTTGCTGTTGGAAGTAAAGCTGTATATGACATAAGAAGAGAAGAATTCATCAGCACCAGGGAAGATAATGCTATCACTGGAGATACTGAAGAGGCAGCAAAGAACCATGAATGTAAAGAAACAGTTAAAGTAGATATCCTTGTAGAAGGGGAGGATACTTTTGTAGACTGGGAGGAGACAAACTCTGTAGACAGTGAAGAATCTGTATTACAGGTGAGCAGCTACCTGCATAATGAACAGACACACACACTGGGTGATATCAATTTGAAAAAAGATACCAGCATTCAACAAAATGATATTAATAATGAGACAGATGATACTTTTGAATCGATAGATGATAACCCTGAGAAGAAAACACCTCATGAAAAGGAGAATGACTATATACTTGCAGACAATGATACAATTGACAAGAAAGAGTGTTTTATATTGAAAAGGGAAGATGTTATCCAGAGTTTCATTTTGATACCAGATGATGATATTTTAAAGAAAGATCACATTACAGAGAAGGAAAGTTATACTGTAGTTTCGGATAACACTGGAGGAGGTGATAACAAGGACATAGATGATAAAAGTAATGCAGATGATAATAATAAAGCAGAAGATAACAGTAAAACAGATGATAACAGCAGAGAAAAGGATAACAGTGAAGTAGAGAACAAGACCTTCAATAGTCCTGAAAGCATTGTAGAAGCATATCCCTACATTGCTCATGTGGACAACCACACCAACAGAGAGGTGAGAACTTTATAGACTCTATCGTCTTTCAAATGTTTCAGTCTATGTCTAATACCTCAACTCTATCATCACACCACAATGTTTTCTTATCTTAAACTTGCAATTTTTCTCAACTTCACCGTAGATGTCAATCATGATGTTATATTATACAAGTTGTATAGTAATGTTTTCTTTGTTTACTCTATTCTGAATTTTTTCTTAACTTCAGCTTAAGATCATTTTTTATTTTGTGTTTTGCAAGTTATCTCCTCTTTGTTTACGTCATCTTTGCACTCTCTGGCAACTACTTAGAGTTACTTATTGCAGTCCAGTGAGATGTAATTAACAAACTGCTGCAACATACTGTATTCAATTGTACCCGTATTTGATATCTCAATTAATCAGATAAATGCTTATTAGGACTTTGATGTTTCAAGAAGCCGGACAGTTCTCATATATGTGTCAGTATTCCATGACGGAGTGGAGATTATACCTCTTTTCTTCGATGATATGATGCAAATGAATCTTGATAAAAATAATTTCCCAGAATAGTTCATTCTTCGCGTCATACAGGGTTTTTATAGCACACAGTTTAATTGGTTGAATCGGGAATTGGATCATTAGTGTTTCATTCATGCGATTTTTTGCCTACGAAAAGATAGCAAAGGTGACAATTATTTTGAAATAAGTTTAGTCTCCCTGGTAGCGCAGTTACATTTATTACAAGCAGGCTTTTGCCAAAGAAGGGTTCACTTTTCAAAACATTGCAAAAGAGCTCTGATTTGACAACTTTGATGTATAAAATCTCCCGAAACGTGCTCAGAATGGTGAAAAACTGCATGAATTTGAAAGAATCTTTGGCCAGGGTGATTGTTCGCTTGAACCACCCCCCCAGGCTACGGGTCTATAAGTGCCTCATGCATAGTTTAATGCCAGTCTGGCTTAATACTAGCCTGTGTTAAGTTCAGCACAACAGCTTACATAATCATTTTTTATAGCTCTGTTGGAAAGATTTTTCATCGTTTCATTGCGTCATAGTTTTCCTGATATCTTAGAGTAAATGAGATACTAAAAAGTTATTGCAGGGTGATAGAAATAAAAAATCAAGGCAAGGAATGATACGAACTAAACAGATTCTACATTATGCCAACTATTGAAAACTGACACATTTTAAAACAGATTGCCATTTTAGAATTATGGTCAGAAGTCAGATTTGTCAGGATTATCTAGACATTGTAAGACTTCTTAGCTTAATTTCTGCAGGGGATCTGGTTGTGGTTTCCAAAGAAGACAATGCATACTGTTATGTTTTCAGACAGACAAAGAGACCTTTGTGAATTACTGAATATTAAAATCATTGAAGGAGGTATTTAAAGATCTGAGCCCCTTGAGAAAGATTAATGGTTGTCATATTTTAAGATAGAAATTAGAATAGAAAAGGACAGAATCAACAAGGAATTAATGTGTTATAAAGTACATTGGGCTCATTGTGTCATAATAAAACATAATCTTGTTTTAATCCATAATAAAAATCCTGTTTTTTTGTATCCATAATGCTGTTTTTCTTAGGTCTTGTCTCAAGGTTTATGATGAAGGTTTATGATAAATCCTACATAATATGATCCATTTTGTTGAAATAGATAATTTTAAGTGCAAGTTGAATAAAAGTGAGTGGATTGACTCGAGACAAATGCATGAACACTGGACATGTGTGGTGGATTCAGATCAAAAAATGAGCAAGAGCAATCATAAATTTTCAGTATATTTGAGATCGCATTGAAATTAAAAAAGAAAAGATTTTCAAGCTTTGCCCAAATACATTTTATTCATTTGTACCTTGTATGCACTATTTATTTATTAATGTTTGGGCAAATTCATGGGCTATATTTGGAGTAACAATAAGGAAAATATTTGGATATATACTGTATTGCTTCTTTACAGCTCAATATTGTTTCTATATTATGGTGCTTTATTGCAATGCTATATGGTTGTGTCATCAGATAAACTAATTAGGTAACAGATGTTCTATATCTTCAAGATGATTAATACCTCATTAAATACATTAATATGAATCATTCCATTATCAATGTTCTGTCAAGGGCAATTGATCTTTGATCAGTCAACTTTTTGAAATTTATTCATTTGTTGAAAGCTAAAGATTTGTTTAAATTAGAAATGTTATGAATCAACTTTTTGTTGGTCATCGGTTCTGTAGATATTTTTTCAATTTCCATAAGAAGTTTAAAGTCGGAATGGGGAAGGTCCAATTATTTGACCTTGGTGATGAAACAAGTTTTTTCTTTGGGCGAGGGGTGAGTATTTGGCGATTCCTAATAAATAGACAGAGGGACAATTATGTCATTTATCTCAATAAAACAACAAACAACAATTCCCCAAATGAAATCGATACTTTGCTAAACTGCTGTACTAATGCATCCTCTGAGACACCATCAACTAATTATTTTTTTCCATAACAAAAGTGAAAAATAAGTGATTAGAACTTGGTAAAGTTCCTAAATACTCATGCATGGCACTCGTTTCACATTACATAGAATAAGGGAATTCATCAATGAAATCAATCTTAATTTAGCAGTACAATAGACATGACGTGTTTATGAGATTATATTGGACTCTGCACTAAATGGATAGAGTTCATTTTATTACTTTTTGAGTGATATGAAAATCAGGGGAAAATTATACAAAAACAGGAAACGGAAACATGAACTAGCTTTGTATGTTTTCCAATATTCCTATTACATGATATTATATCAGAAAAAATACATTGAGTTATGCATTGTTATTGTTACAGTATTATTAGCAAGGTTTTGGAAAATAAAATAATTCCTGTTAAAAATCAATAGAGACTGGGTTGGTGAGTACACCAAGTGAAAACAAACCTTGAGCCTAACATGAATGTGTTCAGAGTAGATTGTATTGAAATCAGTTATTCTCATGAAAAATTCATTTATTATTTGGAAACACGTAGAACTTATTTTAATTGGGGAATATGTGAATGGCAGGATGTATGGATTTGAGGTGTTTCTATTAGGAATTCTGTTATTTTGGGAATTTTCTACATGCTTGACTGCTTGTCTACATGCATAATGTATCATAAGATAATTGCATCAAAGACTGGTACCCTGCGTGCAGAGTCTAGTTAAACTACACTCTGCCTAGTAGAGACCATATTACAGTTTATTAGCCCCGCCCCCACGACAGGTACCGGTGACAGTTTGGGTAATCACTTTTGACCTACGCGCTTACCTTCCACCAGTCAGCGAGCTTGAAGAAACATACGCCAAATGCGTTCTAATTAAATATGTGCATGTCATTGGTCAAATTTGGCCGACGATCACTGATTGGCGCGGTGAGTTCACAGGTTTATTTTAGTTTGAAAGAGTGAAGACGAAGCTCTCTTTTAAGAAGTGAAGTCAAACGAATGCAAAGGGTAGGAATTTATAGTCAGATTCCTTTGTCTGCGATTCTTGATCGAAATTTCTTTGTTTATTATAGAATCATAAGCCATATTTTATTTCAGGGGTAGTGGATTAAGGAGTACTGTATTTATAATGTTGGAGTGTTTCTGTAGTTTATCTTTTAAAACAATTTGCTTGAGAAGAAGGTGATTCATCTATCTTCCCATACCTCTCATAAATTATCTGCATCAGGAGGATATTTCCTTAATTCTGTTCTTTTTAAAGTACATTTGGATTGTAAGTAATTAATTAAAACAAACAGACTGCAGACTACTATGGCAACAAACCATTCCATGGTGATTGGACAATGTTGCAAAAAGTGCAAAAACTAGATTTTTATTGATGTTTTTGTGGTTGAAATTGACATAGATTTATTTTAATTGTCTGTATCAGGTGTTGTTTGATAAAAAATGCTCGTTAGTTCACACCTGTATTGTTTTGTCGCACCTGAGCGACTGATTAAGCATGAGGAATTAAATGATTTCTTTAATTGCAATTTTCTACGTGGATAGATTTTTATCATTTTCATCACAATTTGGAATACAGTAAAACTTGTGTATAGTGAACATTTTTTTGCCAAGAAAAAACGTTCACTGTAGGTAGGTGTTCACTAGAGAGAGGGTAATTTATACAGAAGTTAGTGGACTATGTGCGTAGGAAGGGTGTCCACTAGGGACAGGTGTTCACTAGAGAGAGGTGTTCACTAAGACAGGTTTTACTGTACTCAATAAATTGGTCCATTTTAATAGTATGATTATACCTACTGTACTGTTTTTTTTGTTGTGTTTGGCATCGTACCAAAGTGTTAAATTTTGTCATATTAATGGTTTGTTTCTAGGACTACCTCAGGGAGATAAATTTTATAGCTATTTCTGGTCCATACCAGGACACAAACAAACCAGTTAAATATTTTTGTCAAACACATTCCATAAAAGTAATCTCCCAGCATTAAAGTAAGTGGGGGCAGCACCCACCTGAGATTTTGAAAATAGGCTTGCACCCACCTGAAAATCCATTTGCACCCACTTGAAGATGAGAATAATCATGAAAAATGGGCATATTTTGACTAATCTTGGTTTGAATTATGAAAATGAATTTTGCACCCACTTGAGAAAAAATTCTGTGGAGATCACTGCATAACAACACCCACATTTGTGAAATATGGTGTCAAATACCCAGAGGCTAGTAATTAAAATCAAACTTGAAAAGGGTATATAAGGTCTGTAGCCTGGATCAACAGAATATGT